TGCTCGAGACTGGGTAATTTATAAAGGAAAAAGTTCCATATAAATGGGGAGGTCTCAGAATCATGATGGAGGGCAAAAGGGAAGCAAGACATATCTTACATGGTGGCAGGCAAGGCAAGACAGCTTGTCCAGGAGAACTCCCATTTTTATAAAACCATCAGATCTTATGTGGCTTATTCATTATCACGAGAACAGCACCGGAAAGACTAGTCTTCATGATTCAATTACCTCCCACCGGGTCCCTCCCATGACTTGTGGGAATTATGGAGGGGGCTACAATTCAAGATGAGATTTGAGTGGAGACACAGTCACACCATATCAGCATGTCCCTAGGTCCTTCAGCATCTGTATTGGAAAGAATATTAATAAAAATTAACTCGGATTTTCTTCCTTGTGTGGGCTTCATATTTTTCCAAGTTACTTATTAGAAATAATTTCTCTGAATTATCCTTTTATTGTGGGCTTCATTGTGTCTCCCCCACAACCTGTATGTTGAGGTTCTAATCCCCAGTACCTCAGAATGTGACTGTACTTGCTGATAAGGCCTTGTCTCAGAACATTTTTGAATTGCTTATGTCAGAATATATGAGACTGAGTAATTTATTTTTAAAAATAAATTTATTTCTTATAGTTACAGAGGCTGGGAACCCAGGTTTAGGGACTACATCTTGTGAGGGCCTACTTGCTGGTGAAGACACTCTGCAGAGTCCCAAGGCAGCTCAGGGCATCACATGGAAGATGCTGAATGCCCTGGCTCAGGTCTCTCTTCCTCTTCTTATAAAGCCACCAGTCCCACTCCCATGACAATCTGTTGATCCCTTAACTCATTAATCCATGAATAGATTAATCCATTTATGAAGGCATATCCCTCATGACCCAATTACCTCTTAAAGGATCCACCTCTCCACACTGCCATGTTGGAAACGAAATTTCAACAATGAGTCTTGTGGGCACAAGCATTCAACCTATCACAGGTCCTTAAAGAGGCAATTTAGTTAAAATAAGGTTATTAGGGTGAATCCTAATCTAATATGACTGGCATCTTTATAAAACAAGATTAAGAGAGACAAAATAAGAGAATGAGAGAGAAAGGATGAGAGCAAGAGAGTGAGGGAAAGTGAGAGAGAGACACCAGGCCTGTGTACACACACATCACTATGTGAACATGTAAGTGAGAAGGCAACCATCTGAAAGCTGGTGAGAGAGGCTGCAGAGAAATTAGACCAGCTGACACCTTGATCTTGGACTTCCAGCCTCCAGAACTGTGAGGAAATACATTTCTGTTGCTTAAGCCACCCAATCTGTGAAATTTTGTTACGTCGGCCCTAGCAAACTCATACACAATTTAATTCATGTAAAAATCTTGTGAATTTGTTATCCTTTTCCTAACCACATTTACAGGTGAGGACACAGAGTTCAGTGAGGTGAAGTGATAGAGTTAGCTCATGATCTTAACCACTACACTCTGATTGAAGCAATGCCAGTGGAAGTGAAGTAAGAAAACCAAGCCTGTAAGCCAACATTAACAAACATTTGTTGAACATTTGGTAGACATAACTGTATGTTTCTATGTATGGATTTATTCTTCATAGCAATAGTTGTTAGCTATTGCTGAGTAACAAATTATCACATAAATCATAAATCATCAAACAGTTGCTTAAAATCACAAACATTTATTACCTCCCAGTTTTATGAGTAAAATATCTGGTCACATCTTGGCTGGGTACCTCTTACTCTGAGCGTCTCAAAAAACTGTATTCAAGATCTCACATGGAGCTGTAGTTCTTGCAGGGGTCCACTGAGTCAAAGCTCACACTGTGGTTGTAGGCAGGATTTAGTCTCTTACAAACTATTGAACTGAAGGTTTCAGTTCATTGCTAGGTGTTGACCTCCCTCAGTTCCTTGCCATGTGTAGGAATGTACGGATGTACCTCTCCATAAGATGTCTCTCAACATGGAAGCTGGCTTTCATCAGAGCAAGAGAGAACAGAATGGGAGAGCAAGACAGAAGTTTCAGTCTTTGTGTAACCCAATCTCAGAAGGGACATCCCCTTGGTTTTGCCATATTTCATCTATGAGAAGCAGATTATTTGGTCCAGCCTATACTTAAGGGAAGGTAAATACACAAGGACGTGAATACCAGGAGGTTGTGTAGAAGCTGTCTGCTCTGGATGAGCAAAGCAGAGGCAAAGAAACATCAAACAACATGCTCAAAGTCACACAGCCCGTAGATGGCAAAGACAGGATTTGAACTCAGCTAGTCAACTCTGGGGACTGTGTTCTTCAGCTTTATGCCACAATGCTTCACTATGCATAATACATCAAATGCTATCAGCAAATATTGAAAGAAACCTTTGGAGTAGTGGTAATGGACCTAATCCAGAGTTTCCCTGTAATATTGCAAAATCAATTATTGTGTTGGGGGCTGAAGAGGAAGCAGTCTGTATCGGGGTAGCCAACCTTTTTTGTAAAGGGCTGTATAGTAAGTATTTAATGCATGGTGGGCTGTATGGTTTCTATGGCAACTATACCACTGCTCCTGTAGCTTGAAAGCAGACATAGATAAGAGTTAAGTCAATGGGTGTGGTTGTGTTCCAATGAAATTTTATTTACTAAAACAGGTGGCAGGCTGGATTTGCCTGCAGACGACAGTGTGCCAACTCCTGGTCTGAATCACTGTGGGCACACGGATGTGCCAAGGAATTCTTAATGTTGTTAAAGCTAGGGTGACTTGCTTTATTGAGATCTCAGGAGTCACTGAATCAAAGAATGCAGCAGAAGCCATTTTAAAGCAATGGAAGCAAAGGAGGTTGATGTATCAATTCCTTGGTCCGCATTCCCCTCAAGATACCCCTAGAGTACATTTAGCCTTTGCCACTGTTGGTGCCTTGAACAACTTGTTTCAATTTGGAGGCAGGAGTGCTTCCTTGAATTTTCTTTTAGGCTTTCATCCTGTCATATTCTGGCTGGCTCTTTCTTTGCTCAATGCCTGCATCCTTTTCCCTTATCAATCTCCGTGCCCTAGGTCTGGTATTTTTCATGTTGTCAACATCTTTGCATTATGCCCAAGGTTTCTCTTGTAGTTCCCATTGTGTTCCCTTGGGTGGAAGGGATCAATTTCCCTGGGAGTTTCCTAAGTTTCCGAACTCCTGAAGAGGATGCTCATAAACTCTAGGTGACAGCTTGGGCAGAGGCAGATCATAGAATGTACCTAAAATTAAGAGTGAGCCCTGGACCCTAGTGAGTTCTAATTTTGAAAGATGTCTCTAGGCGTACAGACAGGATATAGAAAGCAAGGGATAAAGTGGTTTGCCTCATTTGGGGAGCAAACTCAAGAGTGTAAACTTTCATAAAACCAAGCCCACTGGGTGACAGTGTATAACCTCACAAATGATCCCTGATAAACTTTAAAAATGTAATCAGAAAAGTTAACTACTTATGTCAGGGTTTCATCACATAGCAGACTAGTAATTCTACTTTTAGTGTGTTTTCTTTCTCACTGGAAAAAATTATCTGCTAGGAAAGAAATATTTGCAGGCACTGCCTCAGTCTTTATATTCTGAGTCTTTATCTATAATATTTAATTTATATTAACTATATTAAAAATATTTAATATATTTTATATATTAAAACTGCTGGTAACAGCTTTAATGGTGATATGATCAACAGTTCCCTAGCTCTTTGGGCATTGTTAGTCTTTTATACATATTTATTTTATTTTGTGTCTTGGACCTCCTAACACTTAATAATATAATTTACTTTGATTACACTGCAGATAGGCCTCTCTCAGATACAGTTTTAAAAATTAATGCATTTAATTTTAGTAGAACTGTGCAACAAGACAGTAGGCGACTCAGCTAAGTGAGAGAAGGGTCCCTAATTACACTTCTAAATCAAACTGTGCTCCCAGCGCCCTTCTGGGGTTAAGTACTGCAGAAATCCAGGGCAATTGATGGTTGCTGACTCAGTTTTCCCAAGCTGTAAAATGGGGAGGGGAGTATATTCGTATTCAAGAGATCCTGAAGTTTCTAAATATTTAAAATTTATATTTACTACTCTTCCTAAAGTATAGTGTTCAGGGATGCTTAGCAATGAACGACTCCCTTCCCCCCACCCCCTGAGTAGGCAGTTTTCTGAATTCCACTCAGTATCACCTGCTGTTTTATTACACATTTTCTCATAATTGCTTTTGTGTAATCAGGGTTTGTAGGATAAAGAAAAAAAATGACTCGTCATGTCTCAAGATTTGGAATCCAGGGAGCACCTCAGCATTATTTTAGGATTATTTAAAAATGGATTAATTGCATGCTTTTCTTCCTTCTCATAACAATATTTTCTCATTAGGCTGGATTTATTTATCACATTTCTCTTCATGTTGTAGTTTTCACCATGGGAATGAATTACAGGCCTTTCCAGAGAGACTTTTAAATGGCTAGGTGATGATTTCTTTGCCATGCCATTTGTAAGTGTCACAGTGATGGAGAAAGCACCTTTATAATGTTTTTTTCTAGCTAAGAAATTAAGATATACTTTCGGGAAGGGTGTGGATCATGTTTCAAGGTGTAAGTTTCAATTATTAATTTTCAAGAAGGAAAATGTTTAATTTAGATGAAGGATTGATGATATATTTTGATGGAGATAGTGTTTTGGAGGCAGTTGACTTTGCTGATTAACATGTTTCAAAAATGTTTTGGCCACTTGGTTGGGGGTGGGATCTTTTAAGTGTGGAGTTCTAAGCAAGAAAACAAACATGAATGAATTCAGAGATGAACATGAGTTTACCATAAGAATATTTAACTAACTAAGCGCCAGTCTGGCTAACGTGGTGAAACCCCGTCTCTACTAAAAATACAAAATTAGCCTAGCCAGGTATGGTGTTGCATGCCTGTAATCCCAGCTACCCCAGAGGCTGAGGCAGGAGAATTGTTTGGACCTGGGAGGTGGAGGTTGCTGTGAGCCGAGATCATGCCACTGCACTTCAGCCTGGGTGACGCAGAGAGACTGTCTCAAAAATGAACAAACAAATGGACAAAGTGAAAAGACTTTTGCTTAAAAATCACAAAGCAGGTTCTTGATTTTAAAACTATCCCTGATAAGTAATTAACATTCTGTCGTAGGGAACTGAAAATAGAGACAGAGATCTTATGGAATTTTCTAAATAGAAGCATTAAGAATGGCAGAAATGCGGATTCAAGAAAGAAGATAATAATGGATTCAAAAACCACTGGACATTCACTATGACCCAGAAGAAACAATAGGGGTTGAAAAGATATGAAAAGAGGGCCTATTAGAGACTTGCTCTCCAGAGTATAGTCCATGAGCTGGCAGGCACCGGTGGCATCACTTGGAGCTTGCTAGAAATGCACAGTCTTGGGCCTCACCAGAGACCAAACACATTTTAGCAAAATTTTTCGGTGATGTGTGTGCGTGTGTACATTCCGGTTTGAGAAGCACTGCTTTAGAGTAAGAAACTGAAAATATTTTTTCTTTACCAATAATGCTTCAGTATATAGGATTATATTTCCTTCACCGTATGTGGAACCACACTCTTTGATTCTACATTGAATAATACTTGTGTAAGCACCCGAATGCAAATGCTATTTTATAATTTTGAGTTGCTGCATAAGCGCACATATAGGCAGAATCTGTTGCACTTGAGTTTAGAGTTCTGAAACAGAATGTAAAGGTCATATACCTTGACAACCTAAAATAACAACAACAATAACAAGAAAATGAGGGGCAAGAAGGGAAAGAAAGTTAAGAAAAAGAGTAAGTAAAGGAAGTAACTTTCTTCTCTTTAATAAGGAGTCACTACTGATTAAAGTTGAAAATTCAAGAAATGGAGTTTATTAGTCATATTCCAAGTTATAAAAATCTAATAATATAATCAACGCAATTTGGGGGTTGACGCAGGACGGGAAGATAGCAGGCAGCGTTAATGAACCAAATCTTCATCCTTCACAGCGAAGAGCTAATAGGTGCTGCCCAGGGTTGATAAATCATGAAATAAAGGCAGGAGCATGTAGCAGATTTGAATCTTATTTCAAAAATCTACGTGTGTGAGTAATGTCACATTTCTTTATTTCTTCGAGTTCAATTAAATCAAACGACAATCTTTTCCCTGATAATTTGGCAAGAATTAAATCATAGTTGGGGTTAGGGATACCTCCGCAGCCTGCACTCATGTAGTTTAAGATTCTGCAACTTGAATAAACTTGAGAGGATTCCTTTACCTTGGAATTTTATTTTCTTCCGCAGTCTGGTAGCCATTTCCCAGAGTTCCTATGAATTTAAATCCAATTAAATTTATAGAACATTTACTTAGCACTTAACAACAAATAGCTATCAAAATACAGAGACACAAATAAATACTACAAGTTTCTATTGACATGAAGCATAAACTCTAGTAAGCAGAGTAGAAAGACATGTACAAAAACAAGTGAGTCTCTGTATGTAAAAGAATTTGGAAAACTGTGAAGTACACCCCAAGACTTGTGAACAACGATGAGGCATTATTCATTTTCCCTAACATCATCATCTTGCTGCAGACTTTCTAGCTGTTAAGGAGAGAGAAATATATTCTTAGTCATCGGTCCTTGTAAATCTCTTAGTTTATAATCAGAAGTAAAAACACTGCTGCAATGCTGGCTGCTCCTAAAATGAACAAATGTGCAGGATTGAATTTCTCTTTAGGCTAAAGGGAAGAAATGTGTCGCTCACATTTTCAAAATCCATGTGCTGACTTCCAGTTCCTGGTCTTACATGTAAGGGTGGGGACTTGGTGTAGGGGAGGGATGAGTAGGTGGAACACAGATGGTTTTCCGGATAGTGTAACTGTTTTGTATGATGCTACAATGGTAGAAGCATGCCATTATACATTTGTCAAAAACTCTCAGAATGTACAACATCAAGGGTGAACATTAATGTAAACTATGGACTTTGGGTGCTAGTCCTGTGTCAATGGAGGTTCATCAATTGTAAACGTGTATCATTCTCATGTGAAATGTTCATAGCAGTTGGGTTGTGTGTATATAGGGACAGAGGGTATATTAGAACTATCTATACTTCCTTTTAAATTTTGCTGTGAGCCTAAAACTGCCTTAAAAATAAAGTTTATAATTTAAAAAGTATGTGATAAAATTGTCCTTTGTTGTCAGTTTCTAAATGAAAGGAAAGGATTTTTCTTTCATTTAGGAGAAAAGACGCATAATTTTGAAACTGCATTCTCTTTCACTCATTGAAAGAGACAGAGACTATAAAAAAGTTACTTTTTTTTTTGAGACAGAGTCTCTCTCTCTCATTTTCCAGGCTGGATTGCAGTGGCAGGATCACGGCTCACTGCAGTCTCACACTCCTGGGCTCAAGGGATCCTCCCAACTCAGCCTCCTGAGTAGCTGGGACTACAGGTGTACACCACAATGCCCAGCAAATATTTGTAGTTTTTGTAGAGTCACGGTTTTACCATGTTGCTCAGGCTGGTCAAACTCCTGAGCTCAAGCAGTCCTCCTGCCTTGTTCTTCCAAAGGGCCAGGATTATAGGTGTGAGCCACCATGTCAGGCCAAAGACTAATCTTTTTAAAAAGGATCTTAAGTCTGGGTACGGTGGCTCATGCCTGCAATCCCAGCACTTTGGAAGGCTGAGGTTGGCAGACCACCTGAGCTCAGGAGTTGGAGACCGGCCTGGGCAACATGGTGAAACCCTGTCTCTCTTTAGTTTTTTAATTTTTATTTTTTTAAGATGGTGGAGTTTGGCTCTTGTTGCCCAGGCTGGAGTGAAATGGCACAATCTTGGTTCACTGCAACCTCTGCTTCCTGGGTTCAAGTGATCCACCTGCGTCAGCCTCCCAGAGTGCTGGGATTATAGGCGTGAGTCACTGCGCCCACCCCCGTCTGTACTGAAAATACAAAAATTAGTTGGTCATGGTGGTGCATACCTGTAATCCCAGCTACTCGGGGGGCTGAGGCAAGAGATTCGCTTGAACCCAGGAGGCGTAGTTTGCAGTGAGTGGAGATCACGCCACTGCACTCCAACTGGGGTGACAGAGTAAGATTCTGTCTCAAAACAAATAAACAAACAAACAAATAAATAAATGCATAAAAAGGATCTTACCTTTGCCTTCAGGGTAGTAACAATTGACCACTTTAATTTATTTATTTAACATGTTAGGCCTGTATAGATCTCCATACCTCATTGAATTTCACCCAGAGATGGGGGCTTGAATGCAGGATGACACTATTGGAAAGGTAAGATAGGGTTGGACAGTGAAAGGCCTTGTGTGGGCGTTGAGCAATGTTCAGTTTATTTTCTTGGCATTGAAGAGCTGTGGAAGGTTTTGGAGATAGAAAAGCACAGTAGTTAGGGAAGATGCAAAATTCCATCCCGAATGAGACCCTGAGATTACTGGCTTAAATCTTATAGTGTTGGCCTTTTGTCATCTAGGCAGGCATCTTGTTCTGTGTGATCATTTGGAACCTCAGCTCTTTCTAAGTCATTCCTTTTTGCTCCCTTGAGCATTGTCTTCGGCACACTCAAAGCTGCATTCCTGTGGCTGCACCCTGGGTTCCAGCCAAGAGGAAGAGGAAAGAGAATATAGGGAAGTGTGTCTGTTTCTGAAATCCTCAACACGGAAGGGATGCATGTCACTGTTACTGACTTTCCTTTGATAGTAAGGCAGTCTCGTGGCCAGGTTTAACTGCAGTCTGGCTAGAGAGCCAAGGCTTGGTGAAAACATTACTAGGGATAATTTTGGTGAATTCAATTGGGAAATGATTAGATAGATGTTTAAGAAAGGAAGTTCTGATTCTTTTTAATATTTTCTATAATGTCTAGCATAGAACTGTGAATATGGTAGGCATTTCATTAAAAATTGCTGACTTATTTACTGATTAATAGATTGATATACCCAGGGTGAGGCTTGAGGTCATCTCCTTTACCTACAGCATGTGGCCATCTACTGGTAGAACCAGCCCAACAATGCCTTCTTCAACACAGTAAGGAAGATTGGTGTTTTTGAAAGTCCATTCTGCTCTGTTAGAGTCATGTCTGGGAAGTCTACAGTGTCCATAAGACAAAAGGGAATGATATGAAATCCCAAAGCAGGAGACTGGGAAATGATCCAATGTGCCACTCTACCTATTTCCAGGAAGGGGCTGACAACAGTTGCTATGCTGCATTTGTACCACCGCCCTTTGTAGAGCGATTTTATGTGAAAGTCCAAATACGTTTTAATTAATACTTTTTTCTCTTCCTTTATTTTCTCCAGTGGTGAAGCAAATGAATGGTGGTGGTGAGAGAAGCAGGCTCCAGTGGGTAGTATTTTATCACAGACATTGTTTAGAACAGCTCTCCCATGGCAATAATAGAAAGCTGACTAAGTTTTTGCCAGTTTTTAAATATCATTATTTTAAAATTCGCCACCGATAAGGCACCACGTTGCTACTTGCACTGGAGCGGGCTCCCCGCTCCTTGGTGCGCCATTTATTTTCTTCTTCCTTTGTTTTTCTTTTCCCATTCTCTTTCCTTTACAGTAAAACTCTGAAAAATATGTGTCTGTTCTCACTGTTTTCCATTTCTCTCTTCCCACTCTCTCTTAAAGTCCCTCTAGTCAGACTTTTGCTCCAACCACTTTATCAAATTAGCTGTTGTCAAGGTCACCTGTGACCTCAGAATTGCTAGATCCAATTGTTGATTCTTAGCTCTTTCTTGTCTTACTGGACATATCAAAGGCATTTTTATGCTTGCTCACTTCTTCCTTCCAGAAACTCTTGCTTCCCTTGACTTCCAGGGCACCATCCTCCATAGGCTTTTCTCCTTTCTGGTGTCTCTTTTTTTTCTCTCATTCTTTCCATCTGTCTCTTTGGCCTTTATTTTCTACTATTAGACAGCTCCAGGGCTCAGTCCTTGGTCCTCTTCTCTTCTCCATCTGTACTCACTGCCCGGGTGATCTCATCTAGTGTCAAAGCTTTAAATATCACATATAAATTGGTGACTCCCATGTTTGTATCTCCTAGCCAGATGTCTCCATTCTATTTCAGAGTCTTGTGTACAACACTACCATTTACATCTCCATAGAATTAGAATTGATGCCTTGTACATTAGTGTTCCCAGCTGACTCCTCATCTCTCTCTACAATTGCTCCATTGGCAGTCTTCCCATCTGAGTTAATGGTAACTCCAGTTGCTCAGGCCAACAGTATAAAGAATTATACAGGACTTGTTTCCATTCCCACATCCAGCCTATTGGGAAATTCTAGAGGCTCATTTTCAAAAATGCACCAAACACATGACAATTCTTAGCAGTTGCACTGCCATTTCTAAGGCTCAAACCAACGTTGTCTTTCACCTGAATTGTTCCTCAGCTTCCTAAATAATCTCTCAGGCCCCACCCACTAATTCTACCTCATTTCTTCTCAATACAGAAGCCAAAGTGTAGAAGTGAGGCCATGTTAATCATCTGCCCAAAACCTTTCCTTGGCTCCTTTTTTGCTGAGTAGAACTGCCCAAGCCCTACAGCCTGCACCACCACCATGGCCTGCACAGTGTCATTTCCTGAGTCTTCTCCCTCTCTCAGCATCTCAGCCACACTCTCTTTCTGCTGTCCCTCAAGTGCTCCAGGCATATGCCTTGCTCAGGACATTTGGACTGTCTCTGTCTTTGTTGATGTGGATCATCATACCCCAGATACCTGCATGACTTACTCCCTCACCTTTGCAAGAGTTTGTACTGGCATGATTTCAGTGAGGCCTCTGATTACTATGTCCTTGCTCTATCAATCCGCAGCAGTCTGTAGTATTTTCCACCCACCTCATTCTTTTTTGCATCCATAGCAGTTACCACTTGCTAATGACTTTTCTAATCATCACTTTTTTTGAGATGATCATATTTTTTCCCTTTATTTTATTAATGTGGTAAATTTTATAGATGGATTTTTGAATACATACAACATCAGAGAAGAAAAAACATTGCACAATATTTTTGTTTGTTTTTCTTTCCCAGGTATAGATTTATCTAAATTTTGTAGGATTAAATAGTATGAACATAATGTACTATATACTTAGCAATCTTTTACATTACTGACCATCTTTCCCCCACTAGAATATAAGCTCTATGAGGGCAGGGATTCTTGACTCTGTTTCCCCAATGCCTAGACAGTGCTTGGCATATGGTAGGGAGCGCAGTAAATACTTACTGAATGCATAAATGATGGCCCTTCTTCCTGTCCTCTTGATAGTTCATCTTTCCCTGTTCCTTGCTTTACTCTAACTATAACTTTTGGCAAGTTTTCTCTTCCAGTGCTTTCCACTCACCAACCATTCATCTATCCATCTCTACAATAAATACTTAGCAAGACGGTTAGGCTGTTCTTACATTGCTATATAAAGGAATACCTGAGACTAGGTCATTTATAAAGAAAAGTGGTTTAATTGGCTCTTGGTTCTGAAGGCTGTGCAGGAAGCATGTTGCTGGCATCTGCTCAGCTTCTGGGGAGGCACCAGGAAGCTTACAATCATGGTAGAAGGCAAAGAGGGCCCAGGGGAAGTGGTCATATTGTATAGCAGGAGTGGGAGCGAAAGAAAGAGATGGGGAAGTACCATATGCTTTTAAACAACTAGAAATTTTGAGAACTCCCACACTATCATGGGGACAGAAACAAGCCATGAGGGATCCACCTCCATAACACAAACATCTCCCACCAGGGCCCACCCCCAACATTGGGGATTACATTTCAAACATGAGATTTGGGTGGGGACAAATATTCAAACTATATCACTGAATGTATTCTTTGTTTCTCAAACTGCGCTAAAAATCTAAAGTGAGTAAGAAACAGTTTCTTTCCTCAAGCTCACTCTCCTGTGGATGGCTACAGGCATTTGGAATTAAGTTTGACCTCTAATGAGCTTCCTTGTCAGATGGTGAAAGGAAATCCCCATCTCCTTATAACTTTCTGGAAGCCATTGTCACTACCTGGGTGGGCAATAGCTCTCAGCTATTGGGCTGGGAAGAAGAAAGGCTGAGAACCACTTGCCTATAATGATGGAGGCTATAGGTGCTGCTTCTTCAGGAAATCCATGATCTGCTGATTTGGAACCTCACATGTATCATTTGTCAGCTTGGTCTGGATGGGACAGATGACAGGGGCTCCCTTACATTTTTGTTTAGGCCAAGTAGTCACATGTGTGCTCCTGGTGCATGTGGAGCTTTTGGGGAGCAACATGAAGAGGCTCTCATTTGTCCCAAGAGGGCTGCACTGTTCCCTGAGTCTCTGGCGCTGTTGAGTTGATGAATTCCACCTTGGCTGAGGACTCTTTTACTCATGACTTGGCTTCTTAGTCCTCCCTTCTCACCTGTCCAGCTCTGATTCCACCCTGGAGGCCAAAGGGCCTAAAACATGTAAATGGAACAGGAAGCTAGTACAGGGGCAATCAGTCTCCCCACTCTTTTATCAGAACCTTCCCACCCCAAAACCATCTCTTTACTCCTAGGAAATGGAATGCAGGCTTAGGGATAAAATGAGTCCAGGATTGCATGGCAGCCTTATCATTTTCTAGCTGTTTGGCTTTGAGCAAGTCAATTTGCTCACTTTAAGCCTCAGTTTCTCCCTCTGTAAAATGGTCATACTAACAACTGCTTTACTGGATTGCTGAGAGGATTAAATGATGTGATGTTCGTAAAGCACTTGCTTCGGGGCCAGACATATAATAATCACAAACTATGTGATCATTATTATTATTTAAGGACTTTTATTTTATTTTCACTCATGTGAAAAGTTAATTGTGTTTGTTGTGCTAGTTGTCAATTATTTTTGGAGAGTGTCTCAGAGGCACGAGATTTGAAAAGATTATTATTGGCACAAAACAAAAGAAAATAGAAAAACAACAAACCATCTCACAGGCTCCCAGGTGGATGCTGATACTCAATCATTGCGGCTACAAAAAAGAAAGAGGGGCCCTTTTTCCCTTGTGGTCCAGGAGTGTCTGACATGCTTCAAGTAGCCTCCTCTAATGGAGGAGCAGAAGGCCACCCCTTGTCAGGGCAGGAAGCTTCTCTCATCTGACAAAGGAAGGAACGTGCTTCTTGGCCTCTGTTCCCCCAACACCATCTTTGTACTCCCTAGAGGCTTTCAACTGCTTTGCACAGCTAGGAACAGTTTCTGGGCACCTGCTCTGTTTACAATGCCAGCTCCAAAAATGAGCCCAGGTATCCAATTAGAGGCCAATGTCTGCAAAAACAACGTTTTCTTTTTCCCCACTGTGAAGCTGGATTTCTGGGGTTGAGAAAGGACTATCACATTTCTTGAAGCAGAGGGACAACTCTATCTTTATTGCACCTTTCCACAACCCACTTTGCTAGGGTAGTGCCTAGGAGTACTATGCCCTGACCTCAAGGTCAAAGAGGAGGAGGGTCTTGTGGACCCTGTCTTTTATTACCGTCACTAATTCCCTGCACACTTCCTCTTCTGTCACCAGTATCTTCCATTCTACTTTGCAGCAACATTGGCTTTGAAATAATGTGGTTATTTTCCAGAAAGTTCACTAGTCCTTGCAGAATTTTTTTTTCTTGTTTTACTCAGCCTATTATGTGAAATAGAATAATCCTTCTTATAGCAACATGCTTTGGCTTTGGTTCAAATCTCAGCTCCATTCCTTTCTAGCTGTGTTTCCTTGGGCAAGACACTGAATGTTTCAGAGATCCAGGGTTCCCTTTGGATAAGAAAGAATGGCAATATGTACCTTCAAGGTTGTTTAAGAATGAAATTAGCTGGGTTTTGAAAGATCTCAAGAACTATTAGTTACTCTTTAGTATTTTTCTAAGGCTTTCTGTAAAACTAAACTCCTTAGAAGAAGAGGAAACACAGGTAAGTTAGAATAGTGACAGCAGGGAAGTGAGTGCAGAATCGAGATAGGCATTGTATTTGTTTGCTAGATCTGCTGTAACGAAGTACCACAAACTGAATGCCTTAAAACAATGGAAATTTATAGTCTTACAATTCTGGAGGCTAGAAGTTCAAGATCAAGGTGTTAGCAGGGCCGTGCTGTCTCTGGTGGCTGGGGGAGAAACTTTCCTTACCTTTTCTAGATGTTTGCTGATAATTCTTGGTGTCTCTCAGCTTG